ATCCCTTTCCTTTCAGGATCCTCCAATTCTACCAATTGGTTTCCTGACAAAAAGAGTAAAATCTTTTCACTTCCTGTTTTAAAATACACATAGGATTTTCTTTTGGCATGTTGGCAGGCCTGGTAACAGTGTTGGAATCAGAGTTAGAAGTCCAAACCTATGGCCAGCTGTTTTACGTAGTAGGAAAACAAAGGTATGATAACATTAAAAAGGCTGAGAGGATGTTTGCTAGTAGTTAATTAATAGAAGCCAGGGTATCGGCTTGAACAACAAGCTGGGTAGGTTGTTCCAGACTCCCACAACAATTTGTGTACAGAAGTGCCTTCTATTCTCATATTAAAGTTATTATTTTCCATCTGTTTTTTCTAGTTTCTTGTTTCACTGTTCATCGGGTTAACTTTGTCAGTACATTTGGAGATTCTGAATACATGAATCAAGTCTCTTCTTATTAATAGTAATAAATATGTTGCTATAGAATGCTAGGAAAATTCAATCAGTGCTGTAAATTGTTTTGAGAAGAGTAGCTGTAATTATTTTTATATGCCAAAAATGTATACTGATGTCTTTGTTGTATTTCAGTAACTTTTGCAGGTGCAGCAGAACAAACTGAATAAAATTAAAGATAATTAATACAAGAAAAATACATATTTTATTGTACTTTGACATATCTGTTATGGTTTTCCATTAAAACTGTAAGTAGAGCAGGACTAGGAGCTAGGTTTTGTGACGAGGTATATTTTTTAGTGATTTATGTTGTTATACCTCGTACATTTCCACATTTCCAGGATCTGTCTCCCTCCCCTCCTACCACACCATTTACACCCTTGCCGCAGCTCCCTAGCTCATTCCTTGCAATAGTGAGCTGCCGTTTCTCAGTTAGGCGAGTCACACTAACTGCTCTCCACACAATTGGTCCTTGTATGGCATTTGTTAAAATCTAACCAAGCTCCTGAATTGCAGCTTTTGAAGAAAAGTGCCAAAAGTGAAGCTGAAGAAAAAGATGATGATGATGACGTCGCAGATAAAGAACACGTTTATCCAGTCCTTGTCACTAATGGTGAACTGGTGAGTTCCTCGTCATTAAACACCAAGCAAGAACCAGACTAATGGTCGTAATTTTCAAATACATTTTTTCATTTTGAACAATAAAGAGTCTAGCCTGGAAATTAAATAAACATGATTTTTACCAAATGGAGAGTGAAACGTACACGTAAAATACAGTTTCACCCAAATCAACACCTGTGAATAATTCTTCATTTAAACACTCCCAAATGTAGAAGCTCAGTACATAGGGTTTTCCTAACTCTAAAAATATATTTTGAAATGGGAAGTTTCTTCATTGATCTCATTGTTCACAGCTATGAGTACCGAATCATAAAGGATCTTATGCCTTTTAGTAAAGAACTTATAAAACACTAGGTCTCAGGTTTTTCTAAGGTCGAGGAGTTCTGAGCTAGTCACCACAAAGTCTTGTT